TTTAGGGTTTAGGGTTCAGGAAACTACAGGTGGGGAGTTTAGGGTATAGGGCTTCTATAAGGCTTCAAAAAAAAAGGCTCCTATAGTGGTAACTACCCACCTGAAAATGCCCTAGATCTAAACCCTTAACCCTTGACCCTAAGCCCTAAAACCCGAAAACCCTGAACCCTTAACCCTGAAACCCTAATCCCTGAAACCCCAAACCCTAAACCCTGAAACCCTAAATCCTGAAACCCTCAACCCTGAAACCCTAAATCCTAAAACCCTAAACCCTAAACCTAAATACGCCACTCAAATGACGCAGAAGACGGCCGCCTGCACTTGCCTTAACGGCGTAGCACCGGCACCCCTCCGCCCGACAGTCTAAGTCGACCCTGACCCCAGGGGCCCAAAAGCTTCAAGGGACGCCTTTCCGAAAAACCCTAAACCCTAAACCCTAAATCCTAAACCCAATACCCTAAACCCTAAACCCTGAACTCTAAATTCTAGGCCTTAAATCCTAAATTTTAAACCCTAAACCCTAAAGGCAAACCTTGGAGCTTCTAGGACCCTAAACCCTAAACCCTAAATCCTAAACCCTAAACCCTAAACCCTAATTCCTAAATCCTAAACCCTAAACCCTAAATTCGAAACCTTAAACCCTAAAAACCCCAAACCCTAAACGCAAACCTTGGAGCTTCTAGGACCCCGTGCCTCTGCACCCAATCTTCGAGGACGTGGCAGACGGCCTCGTAAGCCTCCTGGCTGGAGTGAAGGGAGGCGTCTTTCGGTTTAGGGATTTAGGGTTTAGGGTTTAGGGTTTAAGGTTTAGGATTTAGGGGTTTAGGGTTTAGGGTTTAGGGGTTTGGGTGTAGGGTTTAGGGTTGGTGATTTAAGTCCTGCATTACCTGAAAGACCCTAGACTATGGGAATTATGGTAGAATCCTTCTTATAGGTGATGCAGGATTTATATCATCAAGCGTCGGGCATGCTTGGGGCGCATGGTCCAGGGTCTGGGATGTCAAGATTTGAGAGGAAGCATCGCTCGAAGGCAGGACCATGGCTTCGAAGAGCCAGAACCCACATGAGGGCGCAAATCTAGGTTTACTCAGTTGAGTGAGTTAAGGGTCCGAAAGCTCACTGGCCAGAAGCTTGCTTGTTTTCTCACAATCCTCGTTTATGATGTCCCAAAAAAAACATAAGGTTGATTCTCAATGACTGCTGCAGGAGGGATGCCATGTCGGGCTTAGCCTTTTTTGACGTTTTGGGGCTCAGGATCTGGAGGTGTCCACCTATATGTTTAGGCCATGTAACCTCCACCCTACAGCCTTAACCCCAAATCCTGAACACTAAACCCCAAGCCCGAAACCCAAAATCCAAAACCCTGAACCCCAAAACCTAGACCCCAGACCCCAGTGGTTTTGTGCGAATGCTGAAAAGGCATTCTCGCTGCTTCTAGGGTTTAGGGTTTAGGGCCGCAGACCAGGTGCTTCCGAAGACCGACGCAAGTCCGCATAACCCTGGACCCCAAATCCAAAACCCCAAACCCTAAACCCTAAACCCTAAACCCTAAACCCTAAACCCTAAACCCCAGCCACATGTCCGGCCACCGTCCTGAGGAACCACCACCTGTGGCCCCTTCAACGGCACTGTGAGGCAGCTGCAAGGGCGAAAGAAGACCTCGCAGTTTAGGATTTAGGGTTTAGGGTCTAGGATTAAGGACGGTTTAGGGTTGCTCTTTTTGGCTTTGGGGTTTAGGGCTTAGGGCGTTTAGGATTTAAGACGGTTTAGGGTTGCTCTTTTGGGCTTTAGGATTTAGGGCTTAGGGCTTTCAGAATTTAGGACGGTTTAGGGTTGCTCTTTTTGGGCTTTAGGGTTTAGGGCTTAGGGCTTTTAGGATTTAGGACGGTTTAGGGTTGCTCTTTTTGGCGTTAGGGTTTAGGGCTTAGGGCTTGCTATATGCAGGGGGGTGAATAGTTCTGATAGACCTTCAAGCCTTCAGCCTCCGACAAGAAAGAGTTGGGGGCTGATTCACTGCCAAATAACTACGACGTAAACATGCAAAAAAGCATGCTGAATCCTAAACCCCATGGTACAAGTTGAAAGGGGAACGGGCGTTGCGCTTCGCATCTGTGGCTTTCCTTCAAGCCCTCATCCCTACACCCCAAACCCCAAACCCTAAACCGTAAAGCCTACTCTACCTACACCCTCCTCTAAGCGGTGAACACAGCCAGCCGCCTTGCAAACTCGCCGAGCGAATCCGCCACAAATACCACCTGGAAGGGGTTAAATGTCTAGCAAGTACTGGATGTTGGGTTTTTTTTGGGGGTTAGGGTTTAGGATTTGGCGGTTTAGGTTTTAGGGGTTTGGGGTTTACATCAATAAGACCCAGAGCGGACAGCCGCAGAAAGCCGCAGCTCTAATTCG